TTCCATCGTCATAGCAATTTACAGAGATGCGTATAGTCAATTAATGGTTTTCTGTGGTTTTCATATTTCCTACACTCCAGCAGATAGAGCCCTATGTTAAAACGATGTACTTATGTTTTTATAGAACCAAAAGAAGTAAGTAATTGATAAACTGCCAACAAGGAAACCTCTGTATCGGCTGTAACTTGGGGGTTTGTTCTGTTATGGATCGACTGTGATGAGATATCACCTGTTTTTATTATGTAAAATATTAGAAAAACTCGTTGATCATGCAGCGAAACACACTCAGTTATCAACAGATGAGTTACTCGAATTATTCCAAGTAGATTCGTTTAATGAGCACAGCTGTTGTGACAGGGCTGGTAATCATATGGCTTTCTTTCTTTCTTTACTTTATACTTTATAACTGACTAATTCAATTGTAATTTTTTGTTGTTGTCTATGTTATTAGTTAGTATTAAATATTAGTATAAACATTAGTTGTATTTTAAATAAAATAAATTATTGACATTAATACAAAAATTGAGTATACTGTATATTGTGACATACTTATGAATTTAGGAATTTGGCTCTACTTTCAAATTTGGCCGGTAAGCTGGACTGCTTCGGCCGGCTTAGTGGGGCTTAGTGGGAGTTATGTCCCTTCGCCAAACTCAAAACAAGTCGCGGAAAAAGTCACGAATCAAATGACATACTTACCTATCATCATCCGGGTGCGTGTAGGGTTGCGTAGGGTGTCTATCATCGTCCTACGGTTGCGTGTAGGGCTGCTTATTGCGTGTAGGTTGGTTGTTTGCGTAAGATGAGGGGTAGGGTTAGGGTTAGGTTTAGGGTTAGGGGTATGATTCGATTTGAAAATTTTCACGTATGAGGTCGAAATAGTGGCCGACAATCTGACGTTTGTGGGAGTGGCACCACTGAAACTCTGCCAAATATGACGCCGTAGTTACCTATAATCGCGCACAGTCGTATGCACGCGCAAACAGTCGACGGACGGTGGATGCTACTGACACGGACAATTCGCCAGCGACTGGGCACCAGCCGCCCGCTATTGGCGTCATATTTGACAGAGTTTCAGTGGCGCCACTCCCACAAACGTCAGATTGTCGGTCACTATTTCGACCTACGTGAAAATTTTCAAATCGAACCATACCCCTAAACCCTAACCCTAAATCCTAACCCTAAACCCTAACCCTAAACCCTAGACCAACCTACACGCAATAAGCAGTCCTACACGCAACCGTAGGACGATGATAGACACCCTACGCAACCGGATGATGATAGGTAAGTATGCCATTTGATTCGTGACTTTTTCCACGACTTGTTTTGAGTGCGGCCACGGGACATAACTCCCACTAAACCCAGCTAAGCCGGCCGAAGCAGTCCAGCTTACCGGCCAAATTTGAAAGTAGAGCCAAGAATTTTAACTGTTCACTTGCTGTTAAAGATGGAGCGCTTTTGGTGGGGGGGGGGGGGGGGGGGGGGTGGTGGTGGTGGTGGTGGTGTCAAGTGCTGTGATGTCGATTCTTAATTCAACATTCACAACATTTATGAATTAAAATCTTATATGTTGGCTATCCTACGAATAACGAAAGAGAAGGCAAACCAGAGAGATGAATGGGGGGGGGGGGGGGGGGGTGATATTTGTAGCAATGAACCTCAAAGGAATGCTAAAGAAGAATTTTCAGCTGAATCTTTTTAATGAAACATGACAAAGTTAAAACTGCCGTGATGAAAAAGTATCGGTGATATAGTGACATGTAATACATCACATTAAAGAGAATGAAGAACACAGACAAACTAATTAGGGATCAGTACTGCAACAATAACATACAACAGTTACACCATGTTAGAGGATGTTAGACACACAGGAGGATTGTTTTAGACATGCACTGTTGTGCTTACTGAAATTTTTTTTCTATTGTTCAGCAACACCGGTAACTATTTCTAAGAGTTAAGATTCCTTTTCTCTGGACGAGCTTGTCTTTGAACTGTGCGAGACTCATGCACTCAGGTACAAGATGTGAGCATTGACCTGTGTCACTTCCATGATCCACTTGAAAACCTTCTTCCACCACTTCCTAGTTTTGTGAGTGTGGTTACTGTAATAGGAGACCTGATCCACATGATCACAGTCATTCATAATCATATTGTATGTGTCAATCGGGCTAAGTTTCTGATCCTTCTAACTCTCTTCTTGTCATTCCTCAAGTGAGAACTTTCCATTTTGTTTCCAGTAGGAAGAACGTTGTTTTTTTTCCCCCCTCCAGGAAACACATGGGAAATTCCAATCATTGTTAACTAACCTTTTTAGAGTTCCAAAGATGGTTGGTTGTTGTTTTAGCTGCGGCAGTAATCTTTTACGTTTTTTATTCACTGTGCCATAATAATTAAATTTCTTGGATAAAAAAAAATTGTATGAGAGGGAGTGCGTGTAAAAAATCTGTCTGCAAATAGATGGTGGTAGCTTGCAGTGCCCCGCAAAAAAGGTTGAAATTACTTTCTTCACAGCATGAGTTGATGTTGGATGAAGCTCAGGACTGTACGCGGCTTTTGCTGCAAAGTAAATCAGCAGATTATAAAAAAAGCCTAAAATTATATATTCATCTGTCCACTTTTATGTTCATTCTATCTTTACATTTACAGCTTTTAATTAAGTAAGTCACTGCTAGTTTTAAATCTTACTGTAGCACTTTAGATGTGTTTAATATTCTTGGACTTTGCTTTTACCATGCCTATTCTTGTCCTTAGTTATATCTTTATATTGTTGTAACATTTGTAATCAATCTTGTACTTTTGTTTCACACTGTAAACAGACCATGCTGAAAGTTGTTTGGAATATCTTCAAGTATGTGATTGGCACAATTTTCTCTGTCTTTCGACCTCTGAAGCGTTTAATCTGTCAGAGGAGAAAGTCATCTGAATCAGATGGGTCAGAACTGACTTCTGTTGGAACCGGAGGTCTTATCCTGGAGACACCCCAGGCCTATCCTCAAGATGGAGATGGAGAGGTTAGTGTTATCAGCATTTTCCCTCCATTATCTTTTATATATTTTTTTCCATCTTCTCCTTCCTCTTCATCATCTTTATCATTCCTAATGTTAGTTCGGGGCACCATTTGGTGGGGGGAGGGAGCGGGATGGACCCACTGCCTCCTTACAAGCACAGCCTCCTAATAAGATCAAACCTATTAGAGATGGTGTCTTCAAAGTCGGATTGCATCTGTTTGAGAGAGGAGGAACTAGCAGTCTACATGCAAATAAGTCATATGTGTAAAATCAACATGCACAAACAAATTCAAGTTCTAGAAGAAGAAGAGAAAGTGGGTTTACTGCCATCGAAGGTGAACAAGAATAAAGCAAAGTCACATTGCAATACATAGAGAGAGAAGGACACACTATGTACAGAAAATAATATTTTGGGAGGCGAAAAAAGTTTGTTGCATCTTCTTTGCATTCGTTGGATATTTATGGTTTTTCTAGGCATTTTTGTATTCGTTAATTTTTCCATTGATGACTGAACAGTTGAAACTAAAATAATTGTTGAAATCAGTGCAAAGTGGTTTGCTGCCATTTCACCTGCAGCTGAGTCTACTAGATATTTTAGAGTTACACATTACGCTCATAAACTCTAAGCCACTAACGAAGATGGAGATGAAGGAGTGAACAAACAAAACCTGGTGGTCCACTCACAAGTTTACGTAACAAATCATCTTTTTCTTTCTTCTATTGTCATCTTTCTTGTGCTGCTTTGAGTCACAGTTTAACAGATAATAGGCAGCTGCGCAGGGATACTGTGATTTTTTGAAGTCTCAGGTTGTCAGTAACTCCCTTGATTCATCTTCTTCTGTCTCCCTCATCCTCTTAGTGTTTAAATTTTCTTGTTGTGCTGTCATTTTGAATGCTCTGTGAACTGCTATCATTGGATACATTCTCACTAGGTAGCCAAACCATTTCACTCTTTGTTTCTTAGTGATTAGTAAGGATTATCATCACAGCACTCCGGACAGATCCATAGGTGCTCCGATCTCCTCCTCAAAAGCTCCACAAGTTTAAAACAACTGATGACACCTGGTCTGTGTTGGTTAATAAAACGTCTTGTCCCCTTGGTTAAATGTTCATATCTTACAGCTCCAGGCTGCACCCTTCCCCAAATGTCCATCAGCCTAGACAGGGATACAGAGTCATGCCTTTTGGAGTGCTCGTAGTCACGATAAGTGCTGCGCAGGGCATTGATAACATTGCTTATGTCCAGTACTGGACCAGCCATAGCAATTGCAGTGTCAGCAAGATAGTCTGCACTCTCGTTGTTTGTCAACAAGTTTAATGTAGGGTATTGTTCCACTAGTTCTTCTAATCTCTTCATGTCTCACATGATCCCTTCTGGTTTTGTTCGCATCCTTTCTGAAAACTCTCATTTCACAGGTGGTTGGTTTTAATTTATGACAGCCTTCCTAATATAAGCTTAAAATTATGTGGCTGTCCAAACAATCATTTTCTTTCTTTGATGATTCATTCTTTTTGTGATATTAGAGAGACTGATGATGTAATTTCCGATGAAGTAAATCTAAGTTAAGCAAACCATACATTTGTCCAGCATTTCGATGTGTGAATTCCCCCATGTGTGTTCTGGGACACCATTTTGGTGAGGAAACAAGAATATACCCCCCCCCCCCCCCCCCTCCCCCCACTAACAAATAGGTTGTAAACAACTGATAATTGGGGATTGGCTGAAATCTGATTGAAAGCTGGAGCAGACATTGCAGCCTAACATAATCGGTACCCCTGCCATTTTAGTGCAGTACACATACACAACAGAATGAAACTTGTTCCACATAAAATTCACATCTCACAGTGCCGCATCAAGCACTCGGCTCAGTAGCTGGTTGACAGAACCTTTAACTATACACTTTTTTACCTTTTAAAAAAGATTTTCTGATGTTTCCTGAGCTTAAAAACATATAGAAGAAATATTTTACTTGTTTTTACTTTTAGATTGACATGGAATCATGGGATATGTGGGACTTACAGTCTCAGTCAGTGCCCGGTTACAAACCATCACAAGCTGCGGTTCATCCCAGTCAACAGTTTGCACAGGCTAACTCCCAGGGGCATAAGGGAGAGGTACAGATGAATGGATTCAGCCAACAGAAGCATCCACAGGGATATAATGGAAATAAAGTAGACACCCAAAATGTGCAGATGGATCCTGAAATAAACTTCTTTGAAGATATGACTCCACAGGTGAAAAGGCAGCCGAAGGTGAGTGAAGAAATATGTTTCTTCTTTTAAAACTCAGCCAAAGGTTTGCTAGAAAATATGTTTTTTTCTCAGCGATAGGGCAGGAAGAGATCAGTCAGAGAGTGGAGATAGTGGCAGCTCTAGCTTTAATTAGAAGACAAACAATTGAAATGGTTTGGTCATATAACGTGGATGCAAGCAGACACTATACCACAGCAAGCAATGTTGTGCAGACCAGACAGGATGCAAAGAAGAGGCCGACCATGAGAATGATGGACAGAGGGAATTACAGAGTACCTGGGAATCTCCACATTCCCATATACTATACTTCACCTCAGTACCGCAAGGTACAAGAGAAAGGGGCCTCTGTGGTGAAGTGAACAAGCAGTTTTCCTTGCGTTCTAAAGGTCATGGGTTTATTTCATGGCTGTGACGTTCAAGTTTATGAGTGAAATTTGTGTTGTGTGGAGATCCTCAGGGATCATCGCGAAAGCTACAGAGTTCGTGCTTTGTGCGATGCTCTCGGCAGATAATTAGCCATTCTGCCGAGAGAGACCAAACCATATAGGATAAAACACGGTGCAATAAAGTCGTTTCTCTCAACTTTAACCTTTACCTTGGACACAAGAGGATCTGGATGAGGCAGCCAAAGGTAATCTAGAAAATATATTTCTTTTTTTGTGGTGGGGGGGGGGGGGGGGTGAAAGGAGTCCGTCTCTTGGGAAAAAATAATAGACCCAGAGCTTTCAAGCATGCCATATATGACGACTCATTTGGGGTTGCTGAAATCGGATGTATTGGGTTTGCTGAAATCGGATGTATTGGGTCAACAGGCATTCATATCACAACTCGGCTTTATCCTCGTGGGAGTGACAGGGCCCCATTGTGGGGGAAAACAAGAACAGACCCACTGCCTCCCCAGGAACTAACTGGGGGCTTCCTTTGAAGTTGGAGTGCATCTGCCTGAAAGGCAAGGAATGAACAGTCTGCATACAAATAAGTCACATCTGTAAAACTGGTGTGCATGCATCATTCAGGTTCTGAAACAAGACTAAAGTCCAGGTGTGGACAAACAACAACCAGAACTTTCTGCAAGAGTTTACAGCTGGTGAAAGCGATGAAGAAGACAACCTAACTGTAAACCACAGCACCACTTGCCAACCACACTTTTAAGGGGGGAACACAATGGAGGAAAGTGAGCTAGGCAGTATTGTCAGTCTGTGTGAATGCTCTATGTTTTCAGTTGCAATAATGAGGGTACACACAAAATATATTGCGCAAGTTTTTGCCTGGTTTATTTTGATTTTCATTGCAACATGCTTGACTTAAAGTTATGGTATGCGTTAGTTAATGCTGATCATATTTGAATTTTTAAAATATTTGCAGATTTTGATTCGCAAGAAGGACTCGTCTCAGCCATCAGGCGGATCTTTGAGTAACAGGCTGGCAGTCTTGTCTGATGTCCCATTTTCTGTAAGTTTTTCTGGTTGCATTTTTGTGGATGTTAAGAAATTGTATTCTGTATTGTTAATGACTATAAAGGTTGTAGCTCTTTCTTTCTGCGCAAACACCCGGCACAGCTACGTCAGAGATTCTTTCTTTCTGTGCAAACACCAGGCACAGCTACATCAGATATTCTTTCTTTCTGTGCAAACACCCAGCACAGCTACATCAGGGATTCTTTCTTTCTGAGCAAACACCCAGCACAGCTACATCAGGGATTCTTTCTTTCTGAGCAAACACCCAGCACAGCTACATCAGGGATTCTTTCTTTCTGAGCAAACACCCAGCACAGCTACAAACACCCAGCACAGCTACATCAGGGATTCTTTCTGAGCAAACACCCGGCACAGCTACATCAGAGATTCTTTCTTTCTGAGCAAACACCCGGCACAGCTACATCAGGGATTCTTTCTTTCTGAGCAAACACCCAGCACAGCTACATCAGAGATTCTTTCTTTCTGAGCAAACACCCGGCACAGCTACATCAGGGATTCTTTCTTTCTGAGCAAACACCCGGCACAGCTACATAAGAAATTCTTTCTTTCTGAGCAAACACCCAGCACAGCTACATCAGAGATTCTTTCTGAGCAAACACCCAGCACAGCTACATCAGAGATTCTTTCTTTCTGAGCAAACACCCAGCAAAGCTACATCAGAGATTCTTTCTGAGCAAACACCCGGCAAAGCTACATCAGAGATTCTTTCTTTCTGAGCAAACACCCAGCACAGCTACATAAGAAATTCTTTCTTTCTGAGCAAACACCCAGCAAAGCTACATCAGAGATTCTTTCTGAGCAAACACCCGGCACAGCTACATCAGAGATTCTTTCTGAGCAACACCCCAGCACAGCTACATCAGAGATTCTTTCTTCTGAGCAAAACACCCAGCACAGCTACATCAGAGATTCTTTCTTTCTGAGCAAACACCCAGCACAGCTACATCAGAGATTCTTTCTTTCTGAGCAAACACCCAGCAAAGCTACATCAGAGATTCTTTCTGAGCAAACACCCGGCAAAGCTACATCAGAGATTCTTTCTTTCTGAGCAAACACCCAGCACAGCTACATCAGAGATTCTTTCTTTCTGAGCAAACACCCAGCACAGCTACATCAGAGATTCTTTCTTTCTGAGCAAACACCCAGCACAGCTACATCAGAGATTCTTTCTTTCTGAGCAAACACCCAGCACAGCTACATCAGAGATTCTTTCTTTCTGAGCAAACACCCGGCAAAGCTACATCAGAGATTCTTTCTTTCTGAGCAAACACCCAGCACAGCTACATAAGAAATTCTTTCTTTCTGAGCAAACACCCAGCAAAGCTACATCAGAGATTCTTTCTGAGCAAACACCCGGCACAGCTACATCAGAGATTCTTTCTGAGCAAACACCCAGCACAGCTACATCAGAGATTCTTTCTTTCTGAGCAAACACCCAGCAAAGCTACATCAGAGATTCTTTCTTTCTGAGCAAACACCCAGCACAGCTACATCAGGGATTCTTTCTGAGCAAACACCCGGCACAGCTACATCAGAGATTCTTTCTTTCTGAGCAAACACCCGGCAAAGCTACATCAGAGATTCTTTCTTTCTGAGCAAACACCCAGCACAGCTACATCAGAGATTCTTTCTGAGCAAACACCCGGCACAGCTACATCAGAGATTCTTTCTTTCTGAGCAAACACCCAGCACAGCTACATCAGAGATAGACCCACTGCCCCCAACAAGCATGTCATAAATGGTGATTATTAGGGTTTAGCTGAAATCAGATTGGTGGGCCAAAAGGTACAGAAATCGCAGGCTGGCTGTAAACCACAACATAGTGTACTAACCGCCTGTCAAGGACGAATGCAGAAGAAGATAAAGATAAGGGCAGAGAGACACAACGGTTTTTACCAGGGTCCATAAGGGAAGCAAGAAATAGTACCACTGTAGCCTACCATGCTTGTCCTAAGAGGCAACTAAAAACGGGTCAAAATAGACTGGCTGTCTCTTCCCAAAGACTGATAACTTGGGATTTACAGGAATCGTGTGTGTTGGGTCAGAAGGTGTAGATATTGTAGCACTTTCGTGCAAACTGCCCTTTTTAAGGACAAACACAGAAGTAGTGATGATTGAAGAATCACATTCATTAATAAGTTGATTGAATTGATCCAAGAACCAGCATCACAGCACTAGGGGCATTCCCATTGGCGCTCCATTCCCATCTTCAGCAGCCAATGCATAGTTCCAAAACCAGTGGCGCCAGTTACATTCTGGTTAAATGTCCGTCTTGCCTTCCATCTGAGCGTCGAGCATGGGCCAGAACCCCTCATCACTCCCTGCTGCATCACTCTCACCAGACTGTGGTGATCCATTTGCTCCTCCGAATTGTACACCCTCTCCCACACGAACCTAACCCCGTCTGCTTTATCACACATCATTTGTCTGTGTGTGTGTGTGTTTCTGTGTGTTTAAGTGTGCCTCTTTGTTGTGTATGTGTGTGTGTGACTGGATATTTGTATGTGTGTCTGTGTGTTTGTCTGCATATGTGTGTCTTGGTGTTTGTCTGCATGTCTGATGTGACTGTATGTATGTGTGTCTGTGTGTGTCCCCGTATGTGTATGTCTGCCTATGTATGTTTATGTTGACCGTTTGTTGACCATGTGTGTCTATGTGGCTGTATGTATGTGTCTCTGTGTGTGTGGGTGTCTGTATGTTTCTGTGTGAGTGTATGTGTCTGTGTGTGTGTGTGTCTCTGTGTGTATTGTGTGCGCGTGTCTAGTGTATTTGTCAGCGGGTGTCTATGTGTGTGACTCTGTGTGTTTTGATGTGCCTCTTTGTTGTGTGTATGTGTCTGCATGTCATAGTATATGTCTGTGTGTGCTGTGTATATGTGTCTGCATGTGTATTTCTATGTGTTTGTCTGTGTATGAATTTCTGTTTGTTTGTCTGTGTAGGTGTCTGTATTTGTGTGTGTGTGTTTGACTGCGTGTGTGTCTATGTAGCTGCATGTTTGTCTGTGTGAGTGTATGTGTCTGCGTATTATGTGTGTGTGTGTCAGTGTGTGAGCATGTATGTATATATGTCTGATGTGTGTCTCTGTGTATGTGTTAATATGTCTGTGTCTGTGTGTGTATTTTTGTCTGCGTGAGTGTGTGTGTCATGACTACCCTAGCGAAGCATACCTGTCCTTACCTTCCTCAGCATGCTTTCATATTTATTAATGCAATCCAACACAATTATTCACATTAAACAGATTTGATTTCTTTGCAGAATTCCGAGCTGGAAGCCTGGGAAGAGCAGGCCAATGCCTGGGACACTGAGGTCGCGTCTGATGATTTAATCTGGCAAGCAGAGGAGGCCATTAAGGAAACCCGCAGGAAAGAACGGATGGAACGTCATATGGAACAGCAGAAGAAGAAACAAAAGAAGGATGAAATGAGAGGAATGAAAAGTGGATCATTGCTAGCAACAAAAATATCGTGATAGTTTTGGGGTGATTATGTATTTTAATGTTATGTCTTTTTAAACAAAAAATTTGAATGAATGCTCCTGTAATTCTGTGTCAGTTTTCCATGTATTTAGAATAATAATATTATTTCAGGAAATTTTGAGGGTGTGTTTTATCATGAAGTTTTCAACTGCTTTACTCATGAACATCTATGTGAGCAAGGATCCTCCTGAATCTTCATGTATCTAAGCATGAGTTGATAATTTGTGCCTGAGTTCTCATGTGTGTGAGTATGAATCTTTATGTATTTGAGCATGAAAGTTTGAATACCAGCATTCGAGAGAAAGTTGGTAAAAGGGCGTATCTGAATTTATTGACAGACAAAGAATGAAATGCTTTGGCCATCTGGTGAGAATGCAGCCAAGACAAACTGCATATGAGACTTTTTACAGCAGAAGATCTGGGAGGAAGTCGAGGAGAAGACCGAGAAAGAGATAGATAAATGGTGTAGCAGAAACCTGTAAATAGATGAACAAATCCACCACCCGAGCCACCTGAGAAGCGCAAGACAAATGCAGGAAACCATGACACTTGGTTACAACCTGGTATCATTGAGACAAAAGAAGAAGAAGAAGAGCATGAGTCTTCCTGTGTTTGACTCTGATAATTATTGTACTTGACTATGAATCTTCATGTCACTGAGCCTGAATCTTTATGAGTTGACTATGAATCTTCATGTCATTGAGCCTGAATCTTTATGAGTTGACTATGAATCTTCATGTCATTGAGCCTGAATCTTTATGAGTTAACTATGAATCTTCATGTCATTGAGCCTGAATCTTTATGAGTTGACTATGAATCTTCATGAGTGGTTTATAAATATTAATGTGTTTGAGCATGGATCTTTATCTGATTGATTTTTTTTCTTCTAATTATTTGAAAGAGGTAATCACTTAATACAAATGAAGCAAAGCAATAACTGCTTTATTTTTGTTTGACCAAGAAAACATAGGTTTTATCGACACAGCTACAGAGCAAACTGAATTTATTATGATGCAACAACGACCAAAAAAAAAAAAAAATATTACTCCAAAATATCTCATTTTAAAAATATTAATATAATCATACCTACCTTGTCTACAACACTGTGTTACCGCAACCAGTAGCAAAGCTGTTGTATTAACATATTGGCCAATGCCCAAAGAAATCAAGTGATAAAATCCTGTAAAAGTTGGAACACCCGTTTGATGTTAAGATTCAACCCTACCAGGACATCCACTGAACGATAAACACCCCATGACACAAAGTGCCACCATGCGGATGAGGATCAACCAGGGAGAGGTCCCAGAAACCCCGTTCAACCATTAGGTTATATTAGGGCCCCCGGCTGTAGCCGGGGTAGGGTTTTAAAATAACACAAAATTGCGTCCAGTATCAAGGTGACAAGTATTACACCAGTTTTCATGGGGCCACTTACTTATGTTTGAAGACGATCAGTAGAGACATACAGGGACAGAAGTGGTCAACTAATAATTATAACAACTCTTTATGATAGAAGACAAACCAGAAGCTTTATATTATGTTTGGAAACACATGGTGAGTTTGTTTGGTAGTGAAAGAGTTAAGATGACACTGATGGCATCATGTGTCATTTGTTTCCTGGATTGGTGTCGTTATTAACGTCTGCATGGATTGTCTAAAAAATGTTGTGTTCCAAATGTTGCCTTTTTCCCTGTTTTTTTCCAAAAGGTTACATTCTACTGGACTAGCCAGATTTCTTTACAGTGTGTTGACAGAGTCTTCCCCTTCATCTTCGTAATCACCAGCTGTAAACTTCAGCAGAAAGTTCTGGTTGTTCATCCATTTATGGACTTTGGTCTTGCTCCAGAACCTGACCTTTGCATGCACATCTGTTTTACATATCTGGCTTGTTTGTCTGCAGACTGTTGGTTCCTTGTGTGTCAGGCAGATGCAATGCAAATTAAAAGGAAACATCCCTAATTTGTTTACCGCTTTTTTTCTCTCCCCAAAGTGGAGCTCTGGAACTCACACAGAGATTGACCAATTATAAAAATTAAGAAGATGCTTGGGGTGATGTTTAGGATGTATGGAGATTAGCAGCAAGTCAGGATACCTGGCTTTTGACTGAACCAGTTTGTAATAATGGTCGGGTATTATAGTTACCCATTTTTTGCATGATGTGAAGTTGAAGTGAAGAAGATATTGCATCATTCCATTGTCATATGACATCTATTTGGAATGGAGAATGTGACTTCTTTGGGTGAGGTGTGTTTTACATGACAGACGTATATTTGTTTAATTATGTTTTCATACCACATCAGTTTAATATGTGGACTATCTTGTTCTAATTAAATATGTCATTCAGTTGTCATATGTGATAGTTTTGACGTGAAGAATGTCATACTTTTGATGCGAACAATGTAATGAATAATAATTAACACAAGCTAGTTATTTAAGAGAAAATGTATCATACATAGGTTTATGTGCCGATAGAGCGGTGATTAAATTTGCTTTTCTGCTTGCCATAAAAACATACACATGCGTCAGTTTAAGATTGTGTGTTTGTGAATATTTAATCTCCTCATGTACCTTCCTGGGGGGAGGGGGGGGGGGGGGGTGAGTAGAGTCAGTCCCTGAACAAGCATGTCCTAGAAGATGTCTAATTAAGGATGTGCTGAAATTGGATGTGTTTGGCTGAGAGGTGAGGATGTCACAGCCTGGCTTTAAATCACAACACAATGTGACAATTGTCCCTTTGAAGTCACTTGCAGAAGTATATTTATATAGTCATTTTTAAACTTGGGTGCGTGCAGACTATTATATTTGATTGATTATAACAGTGGGAAACCTGCAAGAGTGGTACGTAAGCCCCTATAGTGGGTTGAATAAGTTGAAGCATTCATTATCCTAGCACTTGGAAATTTGTGGAGGTCAAAAGAAATTGAAAACAAATAGTACTAAAGTTTAAATGTTTAATTCTGATCTAATTTTAATTCTGTCAAATCAGTACTGATCTATGGAGTGGAAACATGGAGAACAACTAAAGCAGTTACTAATAAACTACAAACATTTATTAACTGGTACCTGCGCAGAATAGAGGGAGTTAAATATATAGAATCACTAATGTAAAGCTTTGGGAGGGAAGTAAACAAGTTCCAGTGGAACAAAAGGTGAAGAAAAGATGCCGGTGTTGGATAGGACACATTAAGAAAACCTGAGAACAGTATAACTAGAATGTCTTTGCACTGGAACCCACAGGGGCATAGAAATAACAGTACAAAAAAAAAAAAACCATGGAGAAGAGAGCTAGAGAGTGAAGTTAAAAAAGAGGGAGAGGACAGAGGGAGAGGACAGAGGGAGAGGACAGAGGGAGAGCTGCATGCAATAGCAAAGGATAGAACAACTTGGCCTGAGTTGGTTAAGGGTCTATTCTCCACTATGTGTTAGAAAGGCAGAAGAAGAAAGAAGATACATTAACTGATGCAGTAACTATGGACATGGGCCATAGGGGTGTCCTGATAGGGGTGTCATAATAATCAGAGATGTCAGCAACATGCATATCAACTGAGATACGGAGGCTTGTCCATTATGCTGTTTGAGCGAATACAAGCATCACCACATCTGAATTACAGGGGCTCACACGGATGTACTCTTCAGGATATGCAGGTGTGCAAGATAATGAAAGAGCAAGTTTCCTGTCTACAAGAAGGATAGCTACAGGAATGCTCGAACTGGACAAGGCAGATCATTTCAGGACAAATGTTGATGGAAGATTGGTGTTAGATGAAACAACAAGTATACGGTTGCATGAATTTGGAATTTCTTCTTCTTGGCTTTCATCGGTAGTAATGTTGTTTTTTTTCATCCACTCCTTGACTCTTGAGTCAGAACTTGAGTTTTTGTGCACATCCATTTTACAGATTTGGCTTATTTGTATGCAGGCTGTTGGTTCCTTGCCTCTCAGGCAGATGCACTTCGACTTTGAGGAAAACACCCCTAATTAGTCACTTCCTGCAGCATGCTTGTTAGCTGGGGCAGTGGTTAAATTCTTTGTTTTCCTCCTCTAGTAGCCTACAGGCATGATTGTAACCTCAAGGACATTCTAGTCAAGAGTAGGTTACGCCCCGCGTCTGAGCTCCACTTCGGCACGGTCTCTTGCCATAGACCTGTATGCAGAACCTGTTCATATGTGGTACAGGTGGCCAGTCTAGAATTCCCTAACGCCACCCTCCACATACGTGAAGCATTCTATTGTACCAGCCGCAATGTCATTTATGCCATCAACTGCAAGAGATGTGGCATGAAATACATTGGTGAAACAGGTCTACGGCTGGCTGACAGGTTCAGACAACATCTTTTGGATGTGCAAAATGGTGTCCTGAAACCAGTACCGTTGCACTTCAATTCCCAGGATCATCAAGGTGTCCACGACATGGAGGTGACAGCCATTAAATCTAGCCATTCCAGCGACAGAGTCCGCAAGTCTCTTGAGAATCGCTTTATTTATACTCTGGGGACTTTAACACCCTCCGGAATAAATTGCCAACACAGTTTCATTTAAACTACCAGGGGATTGAACTGCCCTCACAGTTTCAACCCCAACACCCCAGTTATGGCCCCTGATACTCCACAGGGGGGTATTTATTCCCCCAGCTGACACGTGCGGTCATTCTGCTGAGTAACAACTGACCTGGCCGCATCGTGATACCAGCTAACTGATTTTTTGTATCTATGTAGTATTGTTTATTTTGTGTGTGCTGATGAAGGCTCAGTAGCCGCTACGTTCACATTTTGTTTGTATTTGTTATATATTGTGAAGTTTGCATTTTTTTTCTTCGGGTTTATATCTTTTCTTGTTTTCCAAAGGGAAGTTCTTGAACCGATGGGGAACTTTGGAACTAAGTGTCCTGTAAGAGAAAAGAAAAAAGTGAACATCAAGGGCATGGAATGCTGAAGACGAGGAAGACAGGTGTTTTACTTCCATGGCGAGTAAATGCACTGCCTTTTTAGGGAA